ATGATAGACCTCTCAGTCGTGCCCATGGATGATTTTCAGGTTGTTCTCGGCATGGACTTCTTAACTCAAGTAAAGGTCGTGTCCATGCCCTTCCTCAACAAAGTGTGCATATTCGAAGATCAGGCTCCTTGCATGGTTCCAGTTGTGCYARAGACCACGTCCACCCCCAAGATGCTCTCAGCATTGCAACTCAAGGATGGAATGCGGAAATGAGAGACCACTTACCTAGCCACCTTGGTGGACTCCGACCTGCCTGACCCACCAACCGGGCATATCCCGCCAGCGATTACAATGGCATTAGAAGAATTCCAGGATTTCATGCCTCCCACATTGTCGAAGAAGCTTCCCCCAAGGAGAGAAGTTGATCACAAGATTGAGTTGGAGCCTGGAACCAAACCACCGGCACGCCCGCCATATAGAATGTCTCCTCCTGAGCTGGCCGAGCTACGAAAGCAGTTGAATGAGTTGTTGGATGTTGGATTAATTCAGCCTTCTAAGGCCCCTTTTGGAGCACCAGTCCTGTTTCAAAAGAAGCGTGATGGATCTCTTCGGCTCTGTATTGACTACCGAGCTCTCAACAAGCTCACCATCAAGAACAAATATCCCATACCTTTGGTGGYCGACCTCTTTGACCASCTCAGCAGGGCCAAGTACTTCACCAAGCTAGACCTGAGGYCGGGGTACTATCWAGTGCGTATAGCCGAAGGAGATGAACACAAAACAGCTTGTATTACCCGATATGGGTCCTTTGAATTTCGTGTCATGCCCTTTGGGCTCACCAATGCTCCAGCCACCTTTTGTACATTGATGAACAGAATATTTCATCCCTATCTAGACCAATTTGTTGTTGTGTATATTGATGATATTGTAATTTACAGTAGAACCTTGGAGGAACATGTTGACCACCTCCGTACTGTTTTTCAGGTCTTGCGGGACAACAGCCTGTTTGTTAAGAAGGAGAAATGTTCTTTCGCCACAGAAGAGGTGGCCTTCCTCGGACATATAATCCGAGCAGGTACAATCAGTATGGATCCAGCTAAAGTCAAGGCCATTCAAGATTGGGCACCRCCCACCAGGGTCACCGAACTTCGCTCCTTCCTTGGCCTCGTGAACTACTATCGAAGATTCATCTTTGGATTCTCAGCACGAGCCACTACCCTCACCAACTTACTGAAGAAGACTAGTATGTGGACCTGGAGTGAATGTTGCCAAACAGCTTTTGATGATTTGAAGAGAGCTGTCTCAGTAGAACTTGTCCTCGACTTGCCTGATCCAAGCAAGCCGTATGAGYTACACACAGATGCTTCTGATTTTTCCATTGGTGGGATCTTGATGCAAGAAGGACATCTCATTGCCTTTGAAAGCCGCAAATTGAATGATACAGAGAGGAGGTACACTGTGCAAGAGAAGGAGATGATAGCCATCATTCACTGCCTCCGCACATGGCGACACTACCTGCTGGCTCCAAGTTCGTGGTCAAGACTGACAACATAACTACTAGTTACTTTCAGTCACAGAAGAAGCTGAGCCCTAAGCAAGTTCGATGGCAAGATTTCTTAGYGGAGTTTGACATGACTCTAGAGTACAAGCCAGGGCTGATGAACAGGGTTGCCGATGCACTTAGTAGGAAGGCCGAGCTTGCAACACTATCCACAAGTGAAGGTCCCTCTCACAGCCAGATCAGACTGGTCCTCATTAAGCTCATCAAGGAAGGACTCCAGAAGGACCCCATTGCTCAGAGCCTATTGACAGCGGCTCGTGAAGGGAAGACTAGGCGGTTTTGGGTTGAAGAATGCCTTCTTTTGACAAAGGGAAGGCAGATATTTGTACCGAGAGTTGAAGACTTGAGGAAGACTCTCCTACGTGAATGTCATGACAGCTTATGGGCAGAACACCCTGTGTGGCAGCGTACATTGGCACTTCTACAACATGCCTATTATTGGCTTCATATGGACCAAGATGTTCGAGAATACACAAGGACATGCTTGATTTGCCAGCAAGACAAGCCCAAGCGTGCCAAGCCTCTTGGACTCCTACAACTACTTCCAACTCCCTCACAACCTTGGGAGAGTGTTTCTATGGACTTCATCAGCGGTCTTCCTAAAATGGGAGACTATGCATCCATCATTGTTGTTGATAGATTTTCCAAATATGCCACTTTCACCTCAGCACCAAAGCACCTTTCAGCTGAAGACACGACATACATTTTCTTCAAGCACGTGGTGAAATATTGGGGAGTCCCACAGAACATTGTTAGTGATCGGGATCCCCGATTCA